TGAAATTCCTCCGTTCTTATGTGCTGACGAAAATCGTCCCTTCAGTATGTCGAGAGCAGTAAGTTCCCAATGGAAATAGTAAAATGCCGCGAGTCTTATTAAATTTCACTCGGTTATACCAGCCTGGAGTTCTTGAAAATGAACTCGAATTGACTTGCCAATGGGCTTTCGAGTTTAAAAATTGATTTGAATCAACTCAACCCCGAGTTGCAAATCGAAAAATCGACTCAGACCAGATTAACATAAAAATTAATGAACGTGAAATTAACTTGAGTCAATCACACGATCGCAAACCTCAAATTAATCCCGAAACTTTGATTAATTAATTTATTTGGTGGTTATTAATTTATTAACAAGTCAATATCTCTGTCGAGTGATTTTTTTCGCTCGTCACTGGAGTATTGGCCAGTTGAGGACTCGATGGCTCAACAATGAGGTAACGACATCGAAATAATTGATGACTCAACGAGAAGTATCATCTTCCCACCAATCACAGCTACCCGATGCAATAGGTGATGTGGAAACTGATAACGATTAAAGGATTTCACGTAGCTCGCAGGCGTTGTACAACAATCCCCTTCTCCTTTTGGTATCGTATATTATTCAGTACTTCGAGGCGTGCTTAAGTCGAATCAGAGTAACTCGACTGTACTCGATAAGATGCGCGTAGCCCGGGCAAACGACCTGTACAACGTTGGAAATTGAAATTGCTGACCCGAAAGTTTAACGAGATGCTGTGAATTTAACAAATCACTCAGCTTGACAAATTTTAGGCGTCGATTAAAAAGTTCAGGGAGAAATTTTCCCAAAATTATTCACCATCCGTACTTTCGCTCAGACCATTCATTCTCTATTTATACCCCCACGTTATTACTGTTTACACAATTAACACCCCTTTGTACCAATTAAATACTCGATTAATGAACTCAATAAATCTTGGATAGCCTCGCACCAGTCGCACCCTTTCCGCAGTCTAATTAATTATCCACGCCATTCCAATGATATCGGTAATGACCATTTGCACAATTACTAATTTTATCACGTATTTCTGTCTCTTTTCCTACTTGAATAATTCAATCGAATTGTCAAAAAAATGAAAGTTCATTTTTTTTTCTCAAGACTATCATTACTCTATATTATCACTATTCTCTCCATTTTTTAATTATTCATTACCTATTAACGAATTTTCCGGGTAATTCGACGCTGCAGAATTTTAATTATCTCCAATTTTCATCCAGAATCATTATATAATTATTAGAAATTCCTGTGTAATTTTTTTTTCTGGTTGAAAAAAAATTTGAACGTCAAACTTTCTGACTATCTCTGCCATTACTTTTTTTTTTTAGACGTCAAAGTCACTGCCGGTTTTGGAAATGTAAAAAACAATTTTTTTAGAGGAATCAAAAAATGAGTTAATCGATGGTAAATGGGGTGTGTCGTTGAGGTCAGTTGATACAGCGATAGCCGTTGGCTGTCGAAGGGTCAGAATGCGTGGCTGTCTCAACCTACCCCCTATCAACCCCCTCTGTCGGTCTCTCTAGCTGCCCTCCGCACACTGTACGTTTTATCGCATCGATAGGCAATCAGTAACGAACGTGCAAACACTCTATTTCCCCGGGCTCAAATCAAAGCGCTTTGGATATCGGCCAGTGGTTGGAACAATGCGTATAGCCCTCAGTTTTGCTTACCACCCGATTGGTTTAACTCTAAACGTTAACCATTTTAATAGCTTCCATGTACAAATCAGTGACTATCTTTACCCGAATCAATAATTGTCATATTTTTTTTTTAATTTCAATTTACGTATAAAAAACCATTTATGCCACGGGCTATTTAATTTCTCATTGGTTTCAGATGAGACTGTCCTGATTGTTTACCTCGATTTTTTCGTTTAATTAAATCAAATTTTTAGTTTTACATTTTTTTATCATTTTTTTTCTATTCAATTTTTAATTTAAATAAAAAAAAGAAGCTTTCAATTCGAATTGCTGGTCAAATCGCAGTTTTCTCCGAGGGTGGAAAATTTGAATTTCAAATAACATAAATTCAGTTAATCTAGATTTTATAAAATGTTGAAATGATAATTCTTTGTAAGTGATCTTTGAGGAGGTACTTGTATCAACTTGATATCTTTGGAAAAGTTGTCCTGATACGCATAATCCAAAGTAACAAAGTTGACTTGGTTTTGAGGGAGAGGTGGAAAGAGAGAGGTGTAGAAGCTGAGAAAGTTAAACTGGCGCAAACACTTTGTATTCATGAATTCAAACCTCGATTAATGTCTTCGCCCATTCTCCTTAGGGCCTTTACCTCCACTTCAGTGAAAACTTTCTACTCCTCTTTCCTCTTTTCCTCACCCCTCCCCTCGTCATCAAGTGTACTAGTTAATTTTCAAGTGCAAGTTACTCTGAATAATTGTGTTAATGTCCGAGATACTGCTGGGTATATCTCGGGAGTGAATTCTTTTTCAGATTGCAGGGAGAAATTATCCTAGCAATGATATCAGGAATTATTTAATTACTCGTTTCACCAAAAAATCGATTTATTTCGATAAAAAGAATTTACTGAAATCATTAATATTCATATTAAATCCAAATTAATCCTCCATTGATATCAATTATTCATTTTTTAATTCACTGAAAAGACGAAAGTGTCTCTGTTTTAATTAAATAAATTATTGTATTCTGATCAAAGTACATTTTTTATTTCGATTGAATAATTATTTCTGGTGAATTAAACACGGATTTAATTCACATTAAATAAAGCATTTTTCGTTTACATAATTGAGTTATTTTCAGGATAAAATGTTAAATAAATAGTTCTCTTTGAATGAAATTGGTGTGAGTGTTACGGAGTGTTTTGGTAATTGTTTAATTGACGATTTATTCAAGTTCGGGGAATCTTCAGCCGCAGATTCAACCGCATCTGACTGGTAAATGGAGGAGAATTCGCGAGTGCATGTTGCTGTGGGAAATATTTCATCGACGAAATAATTTAGTAGTACTGGCTGGTGGTATGTGCGGTCAGCCGTATATAGAAAATTCCGTCGACCAGTGGCAGAACAATTATTATTTAACTTGGGGTTGTGAACCCCGAGGTTCCCCTGGCAATCCTCCAAGTGGACTTTTCCTCAATTTCAACACTCATTTTACCTATGATTTATGTTTATTATTTATCACTATCACCCACTTATTTACGGAATTAATTGAGATTATTACGAGTAATGAAGCTCCAGCGGGATTTTTCCATTTTGACCTGAAATTTTTTTTCTCGTGTGGACACTAATCTCTAAAATTTCATTTAGAAATCCAGGCGACATATGCTCGGATATAATTATATAATTATGATATATAATTTCTGGATATATATTTTTTTCACGTGGTACACGGAGAGAAATATTTAGTAAAAATTACGGAACTTTCAGTTCACTTACCGATTACGGAGTTGATTCGAAAAATTTAAGTGACGGTATCGTTATTTTTCACCGATAATTCAGATAAAAATTACGGAACAGCGCGGAAAAATTCCGTGACTTTAGATAAAAATTACGTGACAGTTCCGTAAAATTTCCGACAACCATATTTCGCTCCAGAATTACGGAAAATACACGTAATTTTTATTGAATATTTCTCTCAGTGTAGAAGCTGTCCGACCCGAGCGTTATAATCATCAGATTTCCTCTGCAATAAACCATTAGCCCGATAGTCAAATGGAGCGAGAGTCAATCGCTGAATCACTGTAAAGCACATCCTCTGTAACCACCGGGGCAAAACGGCTTGTCCCATCAACTCCAATTTGCCGGGATCGTTGGAGGATCGCGTGGACACCCACCCGTCGTGTAAAATTTATCGCATTACACGTGGCATCCCACCCGATACCATCAGCCCACTAAATCTGGATAATAATTAATTAGCCGGTGAGATTGGCACGTACGAAACTATGAGCTATGAACGTGTACAACGCGTCAAGCTCTCGATTATGCGGTGATATTGGAATTATTTCCCCCGTGGAATTTCACGGGAGCGCCATCCCCGCCATTGGTAAAAACAAGGACATAAACAACAATAAAAAAAAATGTGGACATTGATACAGAGACCCCCGGGGTGAACTGGAATTTATCTGCATCGATGTCGATAATTGAATTATTGACTCGTTTGGCCTGTACTATTTTTGATTTTCCACCGGAATCCACTTGCCACTGAATATTTCATTCCACTCGGTGCCTTTGAGGACAGGCTAGACCACTTCTTTCTTTTACCCTTTGGTTGCAATGCCACACGGTGAAACGAGTCCCTACAGTCGTTGATTGTCGGCCCCATTGGGGGTTAAACTGTGATTGGTCACCCGGGGAATTCGACCCTTTGGACAATCCATTGTACTTGAATCCTGGTCAGTGGCTCTTTGTTTTCCCCCTCGGTATGTTCAGACCATTAGGAATTCCTCATGAATCTGGGTAAATAATCCAACAGCTTTGAATTGTGACTTGTGGATTTCGAGGTGATGTATTTCAATGTTTTGGAAAAATTTGATTTTTTCCAGTGGAGTATTCACCTAGGATCGATTCCGAGGGGATAGTCCTGAGAATTCTCCGTCGAATGAAAAAAAAATCATCCATTTTGCCTAATTCATTCCTGAGATATGACGAAAAGATGTTTTTAGGGCGAGTTTTCATGAAAAAAGTTTTTTCATCATAACTCTGGAACTACTAGGCTAAAATGGATCATTTTTTTTTTAATCCGATAGCAAATTTCTCGATCTATCAAATGGGTCTATTTTTTATTATCTCCGGATCGTTGGAAAGATATTAATCCGAATGTTTAGTTTATATCCGGCTCTTTGAAGGAGTTTTTTATACGAACAGGGAAATGGGGAATCGGAATTTTTTCCTAGCATCCGCAGAATTACTGCATCCACTCCGATTCCTCAGATATTCACAAAAATAGCAGTCCACGTGAAATTTGAGTCTGAAAAAGGAAGGGACGAAAAAAATTAAATAAACTCACCCTCGCCAGTGCAATAGCTGGAAATGTGTCCCATGCGAGCTCCGTCTCTTCTCCAGTGTTACCTTGACGCTGACCAGAGAGAATACGAGCTGCGGTGAGTGTACTCATACCCATACCATCACCAACAAAGAGTACAACCCCTCGTGCTTCACCAACTGGCGGTGTTGTACCGGTGGTGCTCGATGCCGCTGCTGCACGTATCCTTGTCTCGATTTTCTGCGTTGCCGCATCGTACCACACGTTTCTCTCTACAGCAAACAAATGACGAGAATACACGAGATGAATAAATACAAGTCCGTAAAAAGGGAGGCTTGAATAAGTGATGGAGGTAGTCATCAGGTGGAGAACATCAAGCTCTACGTACGTACTGTTTGTCTTTTGGGGATAAGCTGAAAATATTCAGAGGTCAATCCCAAAAAAATCACTATGCCGCAACTATTTCATGAGACCCAAATAACTAATCCGAATATTGATTTTTGGGTATAATTCAGGATATCAATGTGACATCGAATTATTTAAATTTTACTCAGCCACTCCAGAGTTATGAATAATTGAATATTATCACGAAGATAATCTTCAATGGGACTAATTTAACGATTTAATCTCGAATTCGTTGGAAACTTCACGAAAGGAGTCAAATAAACTCGGTAGATCCATCTTCTAGGCACCGAGCAATGAAATAAATAGCAGAGAACAAGATAAATAGATAAACGTGTAGAATAAAAAAGAAATGGCAGAAGCGGAGAAAAAACAGTGACTGGCCCCTGGGGGCTTTGAATCACAATTCTCCAGGATTTTGGTGTGTATATGTGGAAATGCTTCATAAATCTTGGAGTGGTATCCTGTACAGCAGGGTTTAGCCCGACTACCGGAGATACCCAGGTATACCCCAAAAACCAACTTGTATTCTAGCTGAAAACCCACTGGATACGACGACTGGGGTTTCCTCCTGGCAGCAAGTGATAGCTACTTTCCAGTTATGTGTACAATTCGGAGATTATAAATTCTTTGTTCGAATGGAGACGTAAGATTTCAATTGTCCTTACGATAATTCACGAATTGGAACTCGCACTTCGATTTTTCCCTGATGAGACTCAATCCGAAGTCCAATATTTAGCAACGGCTGAGATGATAATTAGACAATTAAATGATAATGGTATTCCTCAATTATCTTAAGAACGTGTCTAACGTTGACAGAAAGGACAGCATGAGTGTTGGTGATAAATTTTTGGGAATCCTGTGAACTTTATCAAATGTTATCAGCGTTCGTGTTGGCGACATCCGCTTGATAAACTCATATATGATGTGGCGAAATGGGAAGAAGATAACGGTTTTATTAGCGCTATTGTCCCTACAATATAAATGTGAAACGAGACACTAATTCGTTAGTCAGTTGATACTGAGCCGTGATCCCCACAGCCATGATCAAATTCATACCTTGTTTTGCGATGGTGTTTGCAGTTGCAGATGCTTGATATTTGATAGATGAGTCGTAAAGATCAAAATGATATATCACGGACAAATTGTCCAATTGTCCTGCACCTCATAGCTCGTAGCTTGGAGTGGCCCAGATGAGATTCGACGGGATGTCTTCAGGATCTCATGGTAAAACGTCTAAAACCGCTAAAAGTCTCATACCTAATCATCTTCCTGCAGATTCTGTGCATTCAAGTTGACAAAAACAGGAAATATTCCCTAGAATGGACATATCTTTGCCACGGAATAGGTTCTATCTGGAAAATGATGAACACGTTTTCTTTGGAGATGAAGTCTCACTCGAGCGAATTTCATTCCATCAAGACTATAAGTCTTCAACCGTTTGATTGATGATTTTTTTTCTTTACATTCTTCATTTTTGATTAATTCTCCTGAATACGGAGCGCGTCACTCTATTTTATTAAAAAATTCCATTGGAGGGCGAGGGGGACGAAAATGGAAAGGGTCCTATAAACATTGAGATAAACTACTGGAACATGGCGGTATAAAGTTTTCCAACGTATCCAGCAAGTTTTACAGTTCTTGATCAAATATTTATCCGCAATTCGTACTGGATTACTTGTGGGATTATAAAAAAAATTGAGTAACATCTCCGGCTGCGGTGCATGAAGTAAAATGATGGTTTAATCTATCTCCCGTCGTGGAGGATAAATAAACGTAAGGTAATGGGATTTTTTAGCTGGCGCTCCAAAGAAGAATTTTTGCATAATTGAAAATTTTTATTTTTCGTGAGACGTCTAATATTTTTGTAATAAACACGCTCAAACATTCAAGGTAAAATACATTTGAATTTTCTCCACCTTTTGACGGTTTTATATTTTTATAGGAAGAATTTTTGTTCAATAAGTTCTGGGTTGTGATGAATATCACAAGATGGTCTAGATTTTTCACTGTAGGAGATGGTGCTATGAGAGTCAGTGCTATCTCTCCGGTATTTGCGAGGGGGAGGTTTTACTTAATCGGACTATTGGGATACTTTAGGAATTTCCCGCATGCTCGGCTGACCAGGAATAGTCTCTCTCATCTATTGAATCTCGCCGAGATACGAGAGGACACATTCGAACCACGTGCGTGGGTTCGAACTGTTTCTCTTATCGTTTTTACAGATACGTTCCGGAAGTCGTTTAACGGACGATTAAACGACATGGAATCCCCTGGTCTATATAATTTTTTGCTTGAGGTTCGAAGAAATGATGATGGTTGTAATGCGGTCGCAGATTGTTTGAGATCACAGTAAGACCTTTAAAATGACATAAAAATTTTCGATTTCCACTCAGCCAATCTCGATTTTTAAATGATTGAAATTTTTGGTGCGAAGCAACGATGAAGGGAAGAGATCCAACAGAGGGGGATTGGATGATACGATCATGATAAAATCACAGATTTTTAAAGTTCACTGTAAAAGCATTGGAATGACACAAAATTTTCAAATTTTCACTCAGCCAATATCTAATTGTAGATGATCGAAACTTGTGGCGGAAGTCTAAAGAGGAGATAAGGAATTCAAAAAAGTAGGACAGACTGATGAGACTTTAATAAGTCCGCAGATGTCCTGGTAGCGTGAAAATAGTTGGAGAATCCGGCAGTTAAAAAAAAATTTGACACAACCAATTTCGAGTTATCGACTACAAAAAATGATCGGTGACCTATGGAAGAAATTGGTTTTCAACCCATGAGTCGATGTCTATTGTTGGAGCTACCACTCGATATGACTGATTATTCAAAACAGAATTCCCTGATCGGATTACGGTTGGCCTCTATTCATCCTCGCTTGATGCGATTAATAACCTGAAGTATAACTTATTAGCGATGGCCGATCCTCACATACGCATCGCATAAATCCCATCATTCACCTCTCTTCCACCTTTAATCTCGTTAGCCTCCAGTACCTCATACTTTCTCACGTTGTTACAGGACGTGTATACACACGGAAACAACCCAGAATTTACGATCGACACTGCCGTACAGTGTGATTCTACCGGATATTGCGTATGTACCACTCATTGCCATTGCTCTCGACTTAGACGATTCCAAGAACTTTATTAACGATTTTCATGTCCATTCGAGAATCAAACATTTTCATGAGTCATTCCGATTTTTATCGATGCCGGGGCATATGAGAGCGAAGAGTCATAAAAATTCTACCGGGATAAATTCCAAGCACAAGTTTATGTGAAGTTTCTGGGAATCAAGGATTCGGATATCAAGAAGGAAAACATCTGCTCCATTCGTGATACCGATAATTGATATAATGCAATTGGCATTTTTACTGAGCAGTTCGTAGACCGCTAGATAGAAATGTCAAGATCTGAATTGAAGTTACGACCTGAATTTAAGACGAACCGAAAATCTTGAGATTGGCTGAGTGATTTTTGGAATTGTCGGAGGACTTGAAGAGTCGCTAGAAATAATCTGCAAAGTCTTTAGTCACCACCGGCGATAAGTGTTGAAAGTCGGGTGTTTACGAGTACCAGAGGTACCCAACAAAAGTTTCAACTGGCATTGGAATGAGGAAAAGTGGGGTATATACTGAATCCTCGCGTGATACCGTCCACTCGCTTATTTTGTGACATGGGCGGACATTTATACAGCGGTTTAGAAATGGCTGGATGCGCCTGGAACGACTGTTGTTACTGTTTGGAGACTATCCGAACACTGGACTGGTAGATGTATCCACCCCATTTCTACCTCACTACGCTGTGCTCAGGGGCCAAAATATATTGTTATTTACTTGGGAGGGAACTCAACGTTAATCGTCGAGTTAGTGCATTGTAACTCACGAAATTCCTGCAATCGTACGTTATCATTTATTGTGCTTTGTAAATTTCTTGCTGAATGTTTTGGAAGGTTTACATTAAAGTCCTACAGTATTTTATTCTATAAACCCAAATAGGTCACCATTTGGAATAAAAACCTGATGGAACCTGAATTTATGTCTCGCCCGGAATTCAGGACAACCCCAAAATCTCGAGATTCGTTGAGTGAAATTTTGAAAAAATCGAACCAATTTGAATCTTCTCTCGTGAAGCTAAAGTACTTGAAGAATAATTAATATCGAACTGTGGAGTCTTACAGGAGCACAAATGAATAATATAGTGGAAGCTAGTCGTGTAATTAAACAAAAACAAACAAATTTTCAAGGAAGCTCTGCGAGTTCACAGAATTCCGAAGGAATGATTACAAAATTTTATGATTTCCCTCAGACGAAGTTGTGGACAATGGAAATTTTCCGCGTAAAGGGAAGTATAAAGAAGCGTTTGAGAGCGTTTGGGATTCTTGAAGAGAGCTTTAAAATTTCACCAAGTTTTTGAAGTTGCACTCGACCGATATCGATTAAAAGACGACTGAAAATTTTCGCTTAAGCCGAAGACAGAGCAGAAAAGATGTGAAAACTTTTTATTGATTATTCCATTTTCAACCCCACGATGTGCGCAGTGAAAGAAAAAAAAATAAACAATTCTTCTTTGGGGAAACATATTTTCACGGTAAGCTGTTATCTTTCTGCCGAGGGAATATCGTCGAAACCAAAGACTGATTAGATGATATCGGGGATCGATGGACTCGTTGAGTGGGCAATCACGATTCGAGTGAGTGAGGGGCGTCGATTTTGGGGTGAGGGGTTGAATCACGAGGGTTGAGACCGACGTTTCAGTGGCTTCCGTAATCGAGACCTCGAGTATCTCAATTCCTCTATATCCACCCACGCACTGCTACGATTTCCAAGTGGATCCAGACCAGAGAATTCCGTTGAATATCATCAACAATATGAGATAAATATCCAGTGAAAAATAGCGAAAAATAGAAATTGGCGAGACGGAGTGCGCAGTGCTTATGGATGAAAGGTAATTTGGGGAAAGAATGTAGCAATAACATTTCATGTAGATGCACAGTCCTGAGAGCGAATTAATTCCATAAATCAAATTGCGAGTCGAGCGGGTGACGTTTGACCTCGGGTACCTCCTTAATGGCCCTGATAACGACTGACGTGCATAATTTTCGGAATTTCCATCTACAAACAGTCGAGTTTAACCGACGTCAGGGGTAACTAGCAGTCGTCAGGACAAACATGCGTGCGTTCATAATTAGGGAAATTACAGAGTATTTGGTGTGTGAATTTTGTCTAGTCAAAGGATTGAATGATGACTTTCAGGAATTACTTGCAAAGATTTATTTGAATCGTATCATTAAATTCCACGATATTCACATATTTATTTAGTCTCTTGGATAAAATGTAGGACAAATAAATTGATCAAAGCCTTAATTTTCTCAAACCAGGACTTCCAATCACAGAGGACAGACACGAGTAGCACTTTGATTACAAAAAACCACAGACCAACAGTAAAAAATGGGAAAATGGAGGAAAAAAAATTTGGTGAAAATGAAAAAAGTGAAGGTGGCGAGGAATTGACGCGGACCGTTGGTTTCCCGGGCGATTAAACGACGAGACGGCCAGGCAATTCCGCAGACCTCCGAACACACCCATCCCAGTTGCAATATATGCTGTTCCAGGGAGTAATCGATCGATCTATGCCGAACGTGTCGAAAATTTTTCATTTCCATGAATTTTTCATTCCCTCGGACTTGGGGATGACAATTTTTTTCACCAAGAGAGCGACGACGAAATCGCGCTTCCGAGGAATTCTCAACTTTTTTTTTTTACCCTTGAAAAATGCGACGAATTTCAATCGACGAGAATTCACTCCTGAAATTGGTATGAAATTCTTCCAAGTTTCAGTGATTGACCGCGATATCTTCCTATTACCCGAGTAAGTATTGACTTTATCCAAATCAAAAGCTTTGGAAATCAATTTTTTTTTGTTTTTAAGAGGATGGAATAATTGTAGTTACGACTGGTGTTTGCGGATTTGTGGTGTATGAAAAAAAAAAAATGGGCTCGTGATTTTTGCGGTGAGAATTAGGCGCACCACATGTGCAATCCGGTTGTTTTGACACAATGTAAATAAACAGTGGTATGGATTCGGTGAAGTGTAGACAGGGATGATAAAATACAAACGTTTGTGGTGAGTAACACTCGGTAACCACTGTATAGTGCGAATGGACAAAATAGCCACTATTGAATAAATATTGACACTCTGCGGTGAGAAGAAAATCAAGATCATAGAGATCTGGCATTTGAGAGCTGAAATATTGTCCTGATATAAAGAGAAGAAAGGAACTGGATCTCGAAATATCTCGAAATATTTCGACACATGTCGATATATCTCGAAATATTTCGACACATCTCGAAATATCTCGAAATATTTCGACACATTTTGAAATATCTCAAAATGTTTCGACATATCTCGAAATACCTCGAAACATCTCGAAATATCTCGAAACATCTCGAAATATCTCGAACGGTTGTAAGATCTGTTTCACAAAATCGATCCGCCACCACGACCTCGTGGGTAAATAATAAAAATTTTGAATGAATGCACCTACGGAACACGTGGGGGCGATCTCGTGAAAAAAATACAGATATAAAAACGAAAATAGCAGGAAAACTCGGTATTTGCATCTACCGGAAAATAAAGAGAAGAGATTTGAACATTAATGTTTGAAATGGGAAACTGCCTCGGATATCGTATGAGATCATGTTCAACTCGCACCTCACGGGAATAACTTTTTAATTGAATTAATATGTGTATTACCTCTCATACAAAAGAAAACTTCACCATTTTTTCTTTCAACTTTTCCGGGGTTTTTTTTTCCACGTCGCCAACTTTTTCCTCACTAGGGGGATTTTTCACAGATCCATACCTCTACTCGTATCTACAACCCCCTTCATTGTCCTCGAGTTGAGCCGTGGGACGAGTGCTTTTTTTAATGAACGTCAAAGGCTTTCGTTTTTTTTTTTCGGTGGAGGAAAAAAGCAGGGTGAAGTGGGGATAAAAGGAATAATAAATAAAAATTTATGTGTGGCGGACACTGGGGAATCGGTCCTCAAATTGTGTCACTCGGTCGAGTATCACCGAAAAAACTGATGTCTTGGGATCAAAATCTGAATTTAAGACGCGACCTGAATTTAAGACCCTGCGGTTGAAATTTAAGCTGAGATTTTTGTGTATGTCATAAGAAATTCAATTTTTGTGCAACGTCTTGTGAAAGAATTCAGAGCAGAACCTGAATTTAAGACGCGACCTGAATTTAAGACACTGCGGTTTAAATTTGAGCAAAGATTTCAGTGGATGCCATAACAAATTTAATTTCTGTGCAACGTCTTGTCAAAGAGTTCAAAGCAAAACCTGAATTTAAGTCGTGACCTGAATTTAAGACAGTGCGATTGACATTTGAGCCGGGATTTTTGTGGATGCCATAAGAAATTCAATTTATGTGCAACGTCTTGCCCAAGAATTCAGAGCAAGACCTGAATTTAAGACGTCAACGTGAGTTTAAGATTTAAGATGCGGGGTAAGCCTAAATTTAGGACACACCGCTGATTTTCGTCTAGACTAAAAGGCGAATGTGTGTCTGAAAAAACAATTCTCGCCATCTCTCCAAGAAAATGGCAATGCAACCTGAATTTAATCCCCACCCATAATTGAACACCCAACACAGCATTTCGAGACTACAATGGAGGTACCAAGTTCCAAAACTAAATTTCAAACCTGAATATTGTAAGACGCGACTAGAATTTCATTCTAAACCTTCCCACCGTAATTCCAAGGAAAATGGCGACTTTAGTTCCTCAAAATTGCCCGCCGCAAATGAAACAAATGTCTCCCATGGGAAAACATTAACGACAACAACAAAACAAGAAAAGACCAATAAAACCTTCGCGAAGAGGTCAGACCTACGAAGAAAGGGAGCAAAACAAAGAGCCGTTAAAAAAAAAAGAGGATTGCCGTAAAAGTGAGTTGTGAGCCTATCTCGTTAATTTACCTTGGTCACCTGCCAGTACTAGGGCAATCGTTTGAATCGTCAGGAGTACGAGGGCGGGGCCAAGGATTCGTCGCTGAATCCCGTGATGCTGCATCTCGCCCTCGGCGATTTTTGTTCACCCCCTAATCCGAAAGGGTTTTTTTCTTTCTTCTTCGCTTCCACCAGCAAACGAGAGAGAGGGGACCCTCAGAGAAAATCCCCGCGTCCGTATAATTCTAGGTGACGCGGCACGTCATACCCTCTGCCCTTCACATCCACTTCGATGTTTTTACGCTCGTAATATCCAATGACGACACCTCAAACACAGTCCGTAAAGTCAACAGGCTAGTTTTTTTTTCTCTTTCTATTTCTCTTTCAAGTCTCGGTTTAACTATTATATACCTGACTGGGAACAAAAAATCCACCGCAATTCAACTAACATTCGGTGCTCGACGCTCGTACAAAAATGTTGGATCAACAGATCATTTATTTTTCTAATTCTATTTTTTAATAAATTATTATTTCAGAGGGTTCCTGTTTTTTTTTCCGGGTGTGTGGATGATTCGTGCCACTCGTGGTGTTCGCACAATTATTTTCGGGTTGTTACCTCACTTTTTACTTTCTGGATTGTTTTTTTTTTGCCTTCAGTCACGGCACACTCACTTTTTTATCCGCTCTTTCGTCTATTTATTTTCTTTAGATGTTCAGTACCTATTTCCCTTCACTCTACAAACTGGTAAACGAAGCGCCTTACGGGATGCAGTCCAATCCCCTGAAGATTTACCCAAATACACTGAACACTGAATTTCCGCAATGTCGTTTTATGTCTGTTACGAACCTTTTATTTATTATTTTTATTTATTTCACTTTTTTTTAAATCCGAGTTACTTCATTGGCATTCGTACAATAAAAGACGAAAACGACTCTATTATCGAAGTTGCAGTCAATCTTTTTAAAGATTTAAGAGTGAATACAGCGTTTCTTTGCCATTTAAAATTATTTTGAAATCTTTAAAAAAAAAATGTTTATGTTGACAGAATAATTGTCGATACCTCTTGATTTTCCGTTTAAATTACCCAATTAAAACAATGAATCGGGTTTTTTTTTCTGAACTTCGATCCGACTTACACCGGCGATATCTCTTACCACTGAAACTTTCAAAGAAGCATTTATCCTTCTGTCACCGGCACTTCTTGCCACCGAAAACAGTCTCATCTTCTTGCAACTAATTCAACATTCCCCATAAATTCCATAAACTATCGAATTAAGACATTCAATTAAACCGCGTTCGCTCAAATATTAAAACCGCAAGTATCAATCACGATTCAATTTCAAAGAACAACATTTGCACAGCACTTTTTACAGCTCCCAATTACCCGGTCAATTTTCCCCCATTACAATTCACAACGACGCCTCACCTATTTACCCACATCATAATTAACGAGTAAAAATTGTGAACCCACCCCCGCCCCTCCCGTGTTTATTCCGGGGTGACAGAATATTCTCCCATTTTGATTGTTTTTTTTTTAAAGGGCTTTTCCCGCGGGACCGGAAGTACTAAATGGGGAGACACTTGAACTAATGCGATAGGGACGGGGTGGGAGGGGAATGTGAATGAATGTGTGACTTGTCGTGACACACGCGTAAGATTTCGACACACGTTGGTGAAAACGTGGTGTACGTTGTGAGACTGGCGCTCAAACTGGTTGGAGAAAATGAGCTAGAGCCAGATGTGCCGAGTGCGGGTGGGCCCTCATGAGCGTGCGCGCGAAAAAGAGATGAAGTGGAGTAGATGCTCTGGAATACTTCGCCACACTGAAAAAAAAGGGTACTTAGATCAAGCTTTACTTAAAACAATCGTGTGAAGTATACCATGATCAACTACATCGAGAAATAAAATTTTCTTTTGTCAAGAATATTTACTAACCGCAAGAAAATGTCTTCGGCATTGGCAAATCTTATGGGAGTATTTACACAGTGATCGCCAGATTTACTGGTGGGAAGAAAATATACTGAAATTAATTTTTTTTAGGATGTATTTGCTGCGGTGACCGCTCAAAATTTTATTAAATAATAATATCACCCTTGAAAATGTTTTAAAAAATATTACATGTCAGAATATTATCATGTAAATATATTACTTCGCGAAAATATTAGCCCAAAAATTATTGCAAGCCGTGTATCGTTTATGAGGAGATATTAAGATGGCACTACATTATTTTTTTAAATATTACAAATCAAAGGATTATGGTATGAATTGCTTACTGCGCAGATGTATTATATTGGCGGAATATTGTTGCCCTCATTTATTTTGGAATCAATATCCCTAAGTCCTAGTGTTTTGAATGCTGAGTTCGATTCCCCGTTGAATCGAATTTTTCAATCGGCACCGATAAGCTGGCGGTTGCTAATGGAGCAACCGCCTGTACCGACATGGTTTTTCCTGTGGTTTCCCATGTTACTCCAGTTCTATAGGACTCAGAGCCGCATGAATAGGTGGGATAGGGCCAATTACTCAAGTCACTCTCTCTAGGAGTATGTGCCATATTAGGATATTGAGAGGCAGTCGTAACGAGTGAAAATTCCGTGGTAATTGACAATTATATACCAAATATGAGAATTAATTACTTTTTTCCTTGTTATTGTAATTGTATTTAGAAATAATTTATGTTGTTGAAATATTTTTAGTATATATATTGAAGAGCGAAATTTTCGCTTAAATTTCCAAGATTTTCGGGTTTAAAAATTATTTTTAATCAACAAAAATGTCGAAAATCCCTTGAACTCGGAAAATAAAAAATGATTCCTCATATTTCACCCTTTTTATCGTCAAAAATAGTGGCGGTTGTCGCTGATAAATCACCCACCGCTAGTGGACATCCATAAACCTCCGACAGTGGAAATTTTCCTCCCGGGTAACATTCAGAAATAATTTGGCCGCGAGTTTTGGTTTTTTTTTTTCTCGAAATGTGTCCGTTAAAACTGAATAGGCACTAAAAGGTGGTGAGGGGTTGGGAATCTCATCATCCAACTTTTGTGCCAGTGTTTCACGAGAGACATCGCAGCGTACCCAAAAAACCTCCGAATAATCGGGTAAAAGCAAATAAATTGAATGGAACAATGGAATATTCAGCTGTGAAATTTTTTTATTCAATGACCAGTTGAACACATTTTTGTGAGGTATGTTGTGTGAATTCACTCGTGGAAATTTCCATCCACCACTAATGTTTCGCGGTTGGTATTTATGGATTTGGAATACATGGAAGTACAGAAGATTGAAATGCTGAATCATATTATACGAAATATGAATGAGGGCTTACAGTGTTTTTCCGGTGTACTGTTATTTCGTGGCTGAACAATAGCCATATCGGAATGGATACGAGCGGTTAAAAATTTTGTGAAAAAGAGTTTGTCTGGAAGGTTTGAGTAACGACCAGAACTCATACCGTGTAACTGAAGTTCAGACTCTGGTTAAACCAAAATGGTGATTTGAATTCATGGTGAGATAACATATAGTTCATGGTTTGGACTGAAATAAACAAACTCGGACTTTACGTGATTTTTTCAGCAATTTGCGTTGCCCTCAATTCAACTTTTTATTATAACGTGAGACAGCACAAAAAGGAAAATAATAAATGATTAGTTTTCATCGAGAGAAACGATTTTCCCTGAAAATACGGAAATTAAAAACAAATTTCACCGCTGGCCCCACCGACTAATCTATGATTTTCGCGAACAAATCCATCCAATAGCTTCCAAAACAATCCACCCCCTTTTCCCATTAATTGAAGAGCTGCGAATTGATTGGAAACGATACACCTCTGGACGGTCCTGAACAGCACAATATTGAAACAACAATCACGATTTGATGAGAATTGAATTAACCACTCACTCCTATAATAAATAATTTAATCACTTCGGTTGACAATAGAAGTGAATCCGTGTCACAGGCTGAATGATTGCACAAGATATTCCCAATCCATCTCATTATTAAATCGAAATCTGTGTCTTAAACAATTGATTAATTGAATAAATACTCGAACAATCCCACATGCGGCTAATGATTTCACTCTGAATCCCCAGAGATCTAGAAAATAAATAACTCCATTGTTGCTGGTGAAACATTTAAATTCACAGAGTGATGAATAACTGAGACATTTCCGTAGCATGAGAATTCAAATAGCAGAACTCGTCACAATTTCATTAAAAATATTTATTATTCTCAGTAAAAAAAGAAAATAAAAGGGAAAAACATTTCTTTAGTATTAATTACCTGGCAAGCGATACTGTCGACCTATTTATGCATTCAGGAAGGAAAGTCAAATGGATATACAAGGGAAAATATATAACGGCAATAGTCTGGGTGTATGGGCGAGATGTGTAACATGCTTGGTGGAAAAGTACGAGAAGAGGAAAAGCGCCGATGGAGAATGGAAATGGTTTCGCTCCTTGAACCCCCACGAGTGCGTTATCCAGTCGAATGTATGGGCGCTACAAGTTGAAGGGAGAGACTTCGTATACAGAGTATAAAAAACATTTTACATCCTATTGCACACTTGTTCCTCAAAAGCGTCTGTACATTTTCCAGAGTTATCCATTCCAGGATTCATTCATTTCTTTCACCGTGTCATTCTTTCAATGCAGACCATTTTTTTTTTCAGTGCCTGTGAGTCTTTCGATTTCTCAAAGGATCGCATGCACTGGGCTCGATACTGACCCGACAGGAAGCAAAAATTCAGGCGAAAACGGACAATAGCTCTTCAGATGTCCGAAGAGGCGAGAAGGAATTTTGTTTGAGATTTTTTTTATATGGCGGACAGGTATGACCTGAATTTAGGTCATAGTCCCTTGAACTTATTTGAATTCCTGGATGGATCGAAATTTCTGTTGAAATATCAAGTCATGTTATGGGAAGTTCAAATTATCAAATGTCATTCAATTTTTCTTTCGCAGGTAATTCACATTCTGAATTTAAGTGGCGGCCGTAAATTAAGCCTCGATTAAAATTCAAGTCTTAATATTTAAAAAACAGTTTTATCCTAACGGATTTATCTTAAACGGATTTATCCTAAATTTAAGCGATCAGTAGAATTTAAGTCGTGATATTTGATTAATCTTGGCTTATTTGAGGTTTAAACCAGGATTATACCTGAATTTAAGCCGCGACTTAATTAAAATCCCTCATAAAAAATCAGTTCCGGGTACAGCGGAAAATACGTCGAATGAACTCCCGACTGGAATCTCATTCAGTAAACCTGAATGAGACATACCTGAATTCAATTATTTATTGATTCGTTATATTTACCGCAATTAATTTTTAATTAACATTCCAATGCGTTAATTAGCTGAAGTAATTGCTATAAAAAATTGATATATTGTTTTTCATTTTATGAGTAAATATTATATTGTTTAAACGAATAAGAGAAAAAATGTTTCCGTCAACCGTCCTGAAATTTTTACGATCTGTTTTATATCTGTTTCCATAATAAATTTTCAAAATTTCAATCAAATTTTATATTTTTGAGTATATATTTTCAGGAATTTTTATTTCCCCCATAAAAGGCCGTGTTAATTGAAAACTTTGATAATTAATAACCACAAAACAGTGTTGCAAATCAATTTCAAATTTTCCACAGACATCTGCTATAGCTCCAAAAACATAATGCCAAAATTTCAAGCCTAATACTTACACCTTCGCCAATATAATCCGCTGTCAAAATAAAATAAAGTACTTGTCGATTGAGGGAAAAATTGATTGGCAATTACCCCTTCAACCCCCAGCGACTTCAACCCCCAGCGACTTAATACCAACCTCTGAGTGTGAAAAAAAAAAGATAATGCACGGGTGATAAATTCAGATGGAGCCATCCCTTATCCCCATTCCTCCCCAGATAACAATAACTCTCTCAAATAGTTCACCAAATGAATGATAAATGGTATTGCACAGTATATACCCGATGCGGCATTATCTCTGACGAGTGGATAACGATATCAAGAGTCAGGTCGACGGGTAGAAGGGACATCTGATCTTGGGAGAGGTGTGTGAACACACCGAGGGCTTTTCCCCTGCACTCATTGTGAAAACAAGCCGCGTACCTCTGTATAGTAGGTTATACCCGATGATAAATATGGAAATCATGGCGCTAGAGTGGGAGACCCGGCTTGGGAGTCGTGTAATGATCTACGAGCAACGTACCAACATCGTTGGCTAAAAGGGGATGGCTCTCGATGGAAGGGAGTGCAGAATGTCGGCGTCGTGCCGACTCACCCGCCAACATCACGTGTTGGCAAAGGGGGAGTGAATTTAAGGGGAGGGAGGGTGGTGGGGGGGGGGGAACAGACATTAACTGGATAACGCTGAATTCCCTCGGTTCGCATATCCAATGTTTTATTGCATTGATTTCACACTCGCCATTTTTCCTCTCTTGTGCGTACAAATTATTCATAAAAATGATAAAAAATTTTGAAATCCACAAAACCATTATGTAATTGATGGACTGATTTGAATAAAACTCACTGGAGTCCATATTTTTAAATGGCTTTTTTGTTATCTATTTTGTTATTTTAGGTGTTGCACTGGAATTATTGATAATTTTTTTTTAGTACTTTGAACTTGTACTTTTGTTAGGTTTTAGGGTGGACTTTACACGTGGAAATCGGGATGGAATTATTACCGAGTTTTTACAGGTGAATGAGGGAATTTAATGGCCGGGAGTTCATAAGTCACGGGAGAATTAAAAGATTTTTATAATTTTTTTTGTTGTATGAGTACCTGGAGAGCTAGTGCAATCAGCACGTGGACTCTTGAGGGACTATTATGGCTTACATTTATGCTCCTCATCTTCATAATGGCTGGCCGAGGCTGATGAATGCATGGATTAAGGGATAAAAGCCCAGGAGTAATTAATAAATCCGAGATAAGTGGTGGTTAAATAGAGTCAGTTGAATTCTCAAGGGGTCGGAAGTGACCCCAGTGTTGCAACAAATTACGTCTCACGATTCACGTGTCATGAGAATTAACACTGACAATCCCCGGTTTCCGGTTAAATTCAGTTTTAATAAATCAGGGAATCCCCAACTTCCTGGCAAATTGCTGCTCCATCTGTCGACAAATCATCCACATATTCATAATACCAAAGTTACTTGTCGAGCATGCGGTGTGATGAAAGTAGTTTTTGCATACCCTAATTCTGTGCTTCGCTTTAACATGAAATATTAATGCGCCGAGTTTGGGAGTTTATGGAATTAGCCTTGAGGCTTACGATACAGTTTTAAACTCGTCTTGAAGTCCCATATACTCCGTTAATATTTCCCCTCATTCTCACTTATTTTCAATGGATTTTGGGGTGGGTACGGTGGAATTGGGGGGAATGGAGACAAACTGTAGTTTCTGCTTTTGGCACAGCTGTGAAATTCATCCCTCCATGGGGACATGCATTTCCCATTCTGGACTGTCGAATATTTAGAGTTCGGGCTCTTAACTATTCATCAATGACACACGCGCCAAACTGACCGCGGATTACGGAATTGTTATGTGGAAACAGTTCGTGTCAGGTTTTGTCGTGTACCGGGTTACATCCGGGATATTCGTCAATCTTCACTGGTGCAAATGCCAAACTGGTTAAATCTCCATTATTTTTTAACGTAAAAATTAAATTACCAGCAAAAGGGTAACGGATAGCAACTCAAGTCACTCTCTAGATGAATTTTTAAGGAATATCTCTTAATCTAGAAGAGATAGCCAACTTTGATGCTGAACCACTTTTTCTGAAGGAAGTAAGAGCTATAAAAAAGATCTTTACAAAATTTTTTCTATCTCCATTAGATCCGGAGATATTCCACTTTGCTGTTGAATTTATTGAATTTTTCTCTTAAGGCACAAAATTGTGAAAGTTACTTGGATATTTTCAAACTCTCGAGACGTCGCTTTTCAACAAGAATTTTAAGAAAAAGGTGAAAAAAACGTTTGTGACTTTTATCATCGACGCACCATGCAAATTGACTCTCGAATTGGCAGTGACATCTGGAAAATTGACGGCGACCTGGAAATCACTGGCTAAACAAAATTCAAGGATCAATCCCTTTGACACATTTTGCACACATGCACATGTTCTCGAAACCTAGTGTCTTCAGTATGCATGAGATGCCAACATTCACGGTAAAAGGAGGAGTTCGGTAACGCTAACGTGGAGCCATATCTTAGAAGGAAAATAGTTTCCTTATACCTCTGAGAAATCCCCCCTGTAGTTTGAACGCCAGTGTGAATCCGTGCTGAGTTGTTCGACGCACAGAGCCATGAGTCAGGGGCCTTGGAATATCACAAGGATTCCTTTCTTTACAGTCAACTTTTCTCAAATATTCGCCTTTGAATATTTGAGAAATAGGGGTTCAAATTTTTCATGCCGGGCTGAGTGGAGTGAAATATACCTCTCAAATTTCAGTATCAAGAGATTTATTTTAATCTAATTTAAAAGTACTATCATTTTTTTTTAATTCAAACTCTTCACTAATTTTTCAATAACTGCATTTTTCACGAAATTTTCACGACCTGAATTTAAGTCACTGAATAATTTACTAGTGAGACCTGATTTCAAGTCCTCAGTTAAATTGAACTCGTAATTTTTACGGGAATAGCAAGACTTTCTTCTTACCATCTGGATGTCAATGTCAATGGCTACCTGAAATTGAGTTGCAACCTGAATTTAATTATTACAGATCCGAGGGTTTTCCTTGTCGATATATTCTGACAATTGCCGCTGGTCTAATTTCTGTAAACTCACATCGGGATTACCACCACGTGACAGTCAGCAAACACCTCTCTGCATCGCCTTTGAAATGCACAGATGTTTGGGGGAGCGCCCCCTGGCGATGGCGTCACTATACCTCAAGCGTCAACACTGGCCATTGAATCGCTCTCGTCAGCATTTGAGGGTGCAACGTTAACGAGGGATTCAGACCCTCGAAGGGGAGATGAAAATGATCTAGCCTGGTCATTACCACCCATCCGTCCATTATCCTCCAAGTGCGTGATGTGTTGTGTCATCATTGAATTTCCCAATGGATTGATGACATTCATTATTAAAAGTAGGACGCAGAGAAAGAAATACGGTAATAGGTAAATATAGCTACCCCATCCAATTTCCCAATTTTTATCAGTTATTATTCCCTTTGATAGCTATTAAACTGGAAAGAAAGGAAAAAATTGAGTCGGACCCGATTAGGTACATACCTTGAAGGAGGAGACGGGTCCAGGTCGACCGTTTGGAGGGGTCCGTCCCAGTCGCGCCCCCATCGCGATCCCTGGGTCCCACCGAGTGCTAGTGAGGCTTGATACTTGAATTTATTAAACACCTCATAACATTTGTTTACTTAATTATAAATAAACCAAGTTTTGAAGGAAAAGTGAAGTAGGAGGGGCATGAGTACATGAGCATCCACCAAAATAAGTGAAATGTCTCAAAGAGGTTATATTCATTAATAGCTACTCAATTTGGACACTAAGGATGTACAGTAGCTACCTTAGCTTATCACGAAAAATAAAATAAAAATTACGTGTCTGTTCCGTAATCTTCCAGTCAAAACAGTATTCAGTAAAAACTACAGAAGAGTTATCCACTTTTCCACTAAACGTTCCGTACTTTTCCTGAAAGTTCAAGTGTGTAACTTTTCCGTTATTTTTATTGAATTTTTCTTTGGGATTGAGACCTGAAGTCGTTCAAATTCAACTCATGGTTTTTATTTAAAATTAATAAAGCCACAGATTGACATCAAATCATGAGGGAGCATAAGTAATTATCGTAATCACCGTACTTTAAACTTCCACCTGAGGTAATTCCCTGTATGAATTTCAAATTCCCTCAAAATCCAGATGGAGACCTAAATTCGTCGTCCTTGAGATGCATAATGTGGTATACCCCTATTTCGTAACAGATTAAAAGAATTCATAATGGAAGTGAAGTATTGCATTTTGCATTGAGTACTCAATGTTTTGTATTTATGTTTACCTGCACTTGGGGGTGAGCATCATGCCGGGAAATTGAATGCTAATGAGCCGTCCATTCATGACTAAAAAAAAAGGAACGAAAAAAAAAGGGAGTGAATCCAAGTGTAATTCCTCAGTGGTACGCGCCAATCGTTCTCACCGACTGACCCACTTTCAATCCACCACTCCCTGAAGAAGGTGGATGAATGCACCGAGTAAAGTTACGATAATGGATCCACTGGTTTTATCATTTCTATCCAACCGGTTTTTACTCAAATGTCGGTGTAATTTTCATCGAGCTAGGCGTCTTCACTTGATGAATTTTCGTGGAAAGTTGCGGGAGTCGAATGATCACTAAATACCAAGGAGGGGGATAAAAATGGAATGGAAACTCGGTCACTTGGGTAACTATGTTCTTAAGAGGACAGACAAGTTTAGGGCAAATGATGGTTTCAACGGATAATCGGGGGAAACGAGGGCTTTCGCGAAGGAACTGTTGGATTTTTACGAACTTTCGAGCATTACAATAATGAGAGAATTTCTAATTTCACGGAAATCGAATGTCCTTCTCGTGAAATCATCATTCGGACCTCTTCACGAGGAACTTCCATCCTGGGAATAATTAATCATAAGTAAAAACTACTGGTCCGGGGTAATCCAAGAATTTTTTATACTTAATTCAAGTTCTCAAATGGATTCAAATCGATTTTAACTCGAGTTTATTTCACCACTCGATTTTAATTGATTCTGCAAATTTAGTATTAATCCATTTCTCAACTTGATTCCAAAAATCAAGTAATCTCCCCGCTGTGCAATATTTTATCTGAAAATAAATCGTTTCTCCAGCAGGAAAAGTTGAAAAATCGAGATTAATGAGTGTCTCGCGTGGACCACAGCACACGGTCACAAGTAATCACCAAGTGCATATGAAAATACCCCAACTCATGCCAATTAATCTCCCCACTTCCCAAATCCCCGAAAAAAACGCTGAGCGTCCTGGTTTCACCACTCCATTGTTCTCCATTGATTCCCGAGTATTTTCCTGAGGAAAAAAAATGCCTGAAACAAAAGTTGAGAAAATGGATTGGCAGGAGGAAAACGAGAGGTGAAAGATTTTTCTTGATGCTCCAACGAATGACAGCCGTGCAGAAATATATATATTTTTTTCTCCTGCTAATCACCGAAATCTCGTGCTGTTTGATGATGTCGTCAATATGACGGTTAATAACAGACTGTGGAGAGCAGTTCGGGTACCTAATGTTTTCGCCTTTGGATGCAGATGCGACCGGCAGTTTAGGGTTGGACAACTCCGTCGTATAGTTGGACTGTATATAATTATAGCCCGTAGGTATGAAAGCCAGTGCTACCAGAATTTCAGTTTCGAGTTCTCACCGACGAATATCTGCACCATGTGGAGAAGTATATCGAGTGGAACATGATTTCGATAGGCGACACCGCAGTTGCAGCTAGAACATTTTACCCCAGTAATATTGGAGACGGCATTTGGTAATTAGTTGGATCCGCAGTTGATAACACTTCTGCCACTCCTCCTAAAATTACATTTTTTCTTTAGTCCAGTTATTTCTTATTTGGAATATTGAAATGTTCAATTTATTAATTGAATATTAAAGCTTATTAAATTTCAGAAAGTATTCCTAATTGTTGATAGATAGAATTCTCATAATTGTTTCAGGAAAATTATACTCTCATTATTCCACCAAATCGACGTCCCCTCCCCCTGTCTCGGTTTTATGGATTTAATTTGATAAAATAATTCTATACATTTTTTGTTTAGTCCAGTCATTTCTTATTTGGAATATTGAAATGTTCAATTTATTAATTGAATATTAAAGCTTATTAAATTTTAGAAAGTATTCTTACTTGTTGATAGTTAGAATTCTCATAATTGTTTCAGGAAAATTATACTCTCATTATTCCACCAAATCGACGTCCCCTCCCCCTGTCACGGTTTTATGCGTTTAATTTGATAAAATAATTCTATTCATTTTTTGTTTAGTACAGTTATTTCTTATTTGGAATATTGAAATGTTTAATGTATTAATTGAATATTAAAGCTTATTAAATTTTAGAAAGTATTCCTAATTGTTGATAGATAGAATTCTCATAATTGTTTCAGGAAAATTATACTCCCATTCTTCCACCAAATCGACGTCCCCTCCCCCTGTCTCGGTTTTATGCGTTTAATTTGATGAAATAATTCTATACATTAATTAATTCGATGGTGAAATAATAGTCGTAATGATGTCGTCTGGATTATTGTGTCATTGATGTCTGTTGTTTGTGGTGTTGCTTGTTTCAGGAAGTTCATTAGTCTGGAGTTGTTGTCGTGGTCTTGTAAATTTCTGAGTAACACGGGTTTCATCCGGGAAAATACAGGGGGGAATAAAAAAAAATTCATGGAAGTAAATGTGACATTCTGGAGGCACAAGCTGACGCCGAAACGAGGAAACTTCAAATTGGTCGACTACCTCGCATTCTCAGTCCCTGAAGATCAGAGGTGGAGACGATGTCATTACAAGATGTTGAACAATGTCACCAAGTTCGGGGATAAACCATCGAACCGATAGCTTTTTAGTTGTAAGCATTGAAAATTTTCAACGGATCGTCAAGAACATTGACTAAATTTAATGATAACTTCTGTTAATTAAATTCTTCGGTTCAGAATTAATTTAATTTCACTCATTTTAACTGGATTTGATATAAGAGTTTACATGAAACTTTTTTTTATGGAATTATTGAACTTTTGTGGCACATAACGGAAATTATTGAGGAAATTTGATATTTCCCAGTGTTTTTTGAATCAGAACTAAAATCATTTCCGATGGAAAATTCAATTGTCATTTTACATAGAGTGACAGTAATTTTTAAAATAATAACGGTTAAATGGAACAGCTACTAAAAATATTAATTGTAGCAATCGTTGGAGTAAAATAAATTCGTGGGCTGCACTTGTGATACGCGATCTCTCCATCCGTATCTGAAATTCTACACTACATTTTATTTGTTGTTCCCCGGTAACCGTAAACTGTACATTTTCTCTTATCCCTGCCCCCACTAGGTCTATTTTTTATTCTCCTCCACTTTGTTTCGTATTTCTCCACTCCGTGAAAGTTTTCACGTTAATTATCTTCGCTCCCCTGAGTATTTCAATTCCGCAAAACGCGAAATAAAAATTCACCCCAGCCTCAAATACGTGAAATAAAACGCTTGGATTATCGTCAACATAATTTTTGTTGCTATGAAAAAAAAAAAGAAAAAACGAAAGACTGGAGGCATATTTTTCTCGTATTATGAATTATTTGAAAGGATTTTTTAAACTGAGAATTTTATTATTTCCACGCCAACATGGAGATGATTTCACTGCGCATTCTCTCTTCCATTGTCATCAATGTTTTTCAAATTACCCTGTTGTAATAATTGCATTAATCCAATGAATGCGTCGGAGGGCGGAAAATATTATGAGAAATATTCATCCGATAATTGACGGGTCAACCTTGAATTAATTCCTTTTTTTAGTAACAGGTTACTGAGGAAACTAATGGCATCGGGGAAAATATATCTTTGCCGAGAAAGAGTGAAAAAAAAAAGCTCAACTGAAATATCATTTTCCACTGCTATGAGCGATTCCATTCGCGCAAAATACATTATCGATACTCTCGCACCATCCAATACAGCTGATAATTCTGGAGGAGAAAAAATTTCAATGTCCATCAGCGGAAAAAAAAGGTGATGAAATATCCGGTGATGGCGATATTCACAAATAGATTCAATCAGGGATACAGTGTATCAAAGCGTCCGGAGGTGGAAGTGGCAATTTTGAGATAATCGATACGTCAACATGACCAGTATTGCGCGTTTCTCGCAAGGTATTCCCTCCAATCCTCAAACTACCCTCTGGTACAAGCATCATTAATGACCCAGACTCGATAATACCGATAACCCTCTTCACTTTTCATCCTTTCATAAGCTATTGAGCATCAGTCAAACTATCTCATCTTCCCACTTTGATCTCCACATCAGCCTCTTTTACTATAAAATCACACTTACATAAATTTTTTATTTCTTCATTCCTCCAAATTTGCAAATTGTCAGGAATCTGTATAACCGTTCGCTGTTATTATAATATATTATTGTAATTAAATAGCTAATGGAATTTTCCCCCTTTGATCTAAAGATCAGTCGATTTTTTGAATTTTCCAAATTTGATCCCCCAAATTTATTTAATAATCTGCAAATCTGAGAATTTCGTTTTAAAAAATCGCCACGCTTGCCACAATTTCCCCTCAACCGGGTCTCATTCCAATTATCCGTAAAACTCATCAATATTTGAATCGCCATAAACATCAGCCAATTTCCCCACCTATTTTTCACCGGGAATGAACATTCGTCTCAATAGCCAATGCTTCACGACTTTTTATCGCGTGTAGAACGAGAATTCTCATGGCCCCAAATCCATTTACCAATAACAAGATATTCCGTGAGAGCACACGTTTCACGTACCTCGAAGAGAATAAACCCGGCAACAATATAACCTTCTATTTGAGACGTCGTATCCCCAACCCGATCGCCGCAGACGGTATCGTCGACGTGCCCGGATATGAGACCAGTGGCACCAGGCGAAAGAGGAGGTGGAGTGGGTGGCAATGGGGTACCAAAAAAAAAAAAACTCGGATACCCGACATGTTCGTATCTTCAACTCTTTTTATTTCATCTATTTGTACGGATTTTTTTCCATTCGCATTGTTGCCACACCCGTCCAGATCCGAGACGTGAGCGTTACGTTAGCTCTGCTCACTTCCTATAACACGAAATGTCGGTTATAAGTCGTCCTCACTTGACAAACGGCAACCCCAGCTACTTGCGCGCGCGCAACCCATTGCCTGGTACCGACTTCCTCTTTCTACCGCGTCAGGATCATCTGCCATAGATTTTTTTTTCCCTTCTCAATGGATAAATTACAGTTCTTAAAGTCGACGTTCACCATTTTTTTTTTCAGGTTTGCGGGTCAATATTGGGGGTATACGCTTGAACAGGCATGGGCAATCTCCAGGTAGCTCGGAGCAGAGCCATAAACACGCATTAGAAATCCAATAAAGTTTACAACCATTTCAATAATAAGGGTCTTAGTACCAGCGTAGTGGGGGCAGTAGTGGGGGCTTCACAGGTACTAAGGTGGGGAGTATCCCATGAAGCATCTGGCAAGAATTTATCCTCCGGAAGGGTAAAACTTGTCGCGCATCTGATTATTTTTTAATGCACACATGAAAAAAAATTGAAATTTTTCTGATCGACTTATTTCGCTGCTTTTCCTTTACTTGAGTCTCATTTCTCCTCTTTTCCTTTTCTTAAGCGTCACCCCCACTTCGGTTGATCTCAGCGGAGGAGAAGGGCCTTTACGATCTGGGTCATAAAGGCCCATCACCCGATACAATGGACTTTCGTTTACCCTTTGTTACGCACTAATAGAGGTCGGGAGCACGACTTGCTCTCAGAGCAGAGTTTGCCCAGCCCTGCGCTTGAGGGTCAAAAGGGATAAATATGTTGAGGGTGAAAGTGGTCAATATTGAGGGTATGAGCTTTGAGGGTTAAAAATGAAAAAAAGTTGACGGGTCAAAAAAAATTGCGGGTCAAAAATGGAAAGAACATTGAAGGTCAATATTGAGGGTCAACAGTTAAAATATAGTGGGTTAAAATCGCAGGTCAAAAAGGGAAAGAATATTGTGGGTCAAAATTGAGGGTCAACAGTTTAAAAAATATGGTGGGTCAAAATCGAAGGTCAAAAATGAAAAGACCATCGCGGATCAAGTTACCTGACACAATTGAGAGTAAAAACAATTAACATTCCATTCATCTTGTCCACAATATTACCACTTAAAAGTTTCAGAAAAGAAATTGGATTAGACACCATCGATAAGTTCAAGAAATCTCCCCCATCGCACCCTCGTGTATCCCAATATGCCGATTGTTTTGTAACTCTCTCACGTGTCCACTCACCACTCGTCATGAACAACCCAAGATTACCAAAGTTTAGAATAAGAATAATCGTCTCGAGCTGAATTCACAAGTGAACATTCGTAGTTTTCTGAGTAACTCCTCAAAGATGCGTGTGCAACCATGCAAAAAGAGATATAACCCACCCGAGAGAAATAATATCGACTTATATATCATACTTTTCCCCCAGTACTTTCGAACAAAATTTGCGACAAAAAAAATTTTCAATTCACAGAGCCACAAGAAACTTCACCAACTCCAACAATTTTATTCACCAGCTCTCTCTTTTTTTTTCACATTCATTATGAAAAATAAATTTGCAACTATTGCGTTGAGGATAAAATTAGTGAGTTGTATAAATTAGCATGAATAATCTTTTGGACTTGTTACGAGTGCTCGAGGAACTCGGAGAGCTTAATTAAAATCATTTCAATTGGTTCATCGATTTTGTAGCAGTTTTTGTGAAAGGTTTCGATGAATGTTTTAAGCTGTTGGAGGTAGGAGGAAAATCTGGCTCAAAGCGTTGAGCCACCTGGTGTGCGCGATAAATCCACAGGGCGTCGGTTAATTTCGAGAGATAAAGAGAGAAATGCGACCGAGGCTTTTCCCCCTTGCCGCATGTATTTCCGTAATTCCGTCCAACCTCATTTGGTTGAGCTTTTAGTTTCCTACAGCGCTTTATACTATCGCACCTCCGGCTCATTTTCCCTCCGACGGCGTTGGCCTGTCATAAAAGACCACTGACCCTTCTAAACTAGTTAGACAGAGGATGTTTTGACTCGCTGAAAATTTCACACCTTTCCTATTTAATATTTAAGTTTCCACCATTTTCTGACAGTCCTTTCCATTCATGCTCATTCAGCTAATGCCCCTCAATTAATTTGTAATTACTCTTCAGTCATTTCCCATTATGAGTGCACAGTCTAAATACTATTCGAATAAATTAAATAAATTCAAATGAAAAACAAATAGAAAATGGTTGAATATAGATTAAGGAAAAATACGTAACACCAATTTTTCTCTGTTGCAGCATCGCAAGGATTCAATTCCCATGTCTGAAATATTGGAGCCGAGGCGAAAACATGACGGAAATCGTTACCCAACTTCATGCCAAAAAAATACACGCGAGTTTATACACAAAAGGAATGCACAATGTGTTGAGAGATTCCTGTGTTCTTCGTGAAAACTTTCTGGAGCAAAAATCACAGTTGAAGGACGAAAAAAAGAAGAAGAAGGAATTTCCAAGTTTGTGGAACTAATATTCCCTGCGGCATTTGGTCGAAGTACATGCCAGAATCGATTCCATCTACAGGTTCTCCTGAGGAGACTATATATATATATATATATACAGTCAACGATGGAAACTATTTCGAGTCAGTAGAAATTCCGATGGATCAAGAAGGCTTGGGGGTTGGGGAAGGGTGCCAGGTCGAAGGTTTGAGTTGTTCAACCTAGTACACGAAATGAGGATACTAGGATTCCAGAGTTACGTATAGTCGATCATCACTGGGGAATTTCGCTGCTGTCTCCTGGGCTGGTACTTTGAATTATCGAGCATGTACTTACCACATGAGGATTGGAATAATCGACACTCACGTTATAATCTCTACTGCATAATTGGATGGCAGAACCAACAAGCGACAGTCTTAAGGAATGAAGTTGGAGATGAGACGGTTGACGTTGTCCAACTTTTCGACTGTAACAATTGAGAGTCACTCGATGAGGGGAGAACGGGCCACATCGGGATGAACATGACTGAAAAGTTTGTTCTTCTTCGGGGGTTTTGTGGTACCCAGGAAATTGCGGCGAATAAACTTGTGTCTCAACCATTTCTCCATCCAACTCCACTACCTTGTGAAATCCACTTCCATTATCGTCATTCTCAAGAGATGAATATACTTTATTTCCGAGAAAAATGAGAGACCACTG